TATATCATTCGAACATAACACGCAGACACATGCGCGTTACTGGATGAAACACAACATCCCGAATTCTTGACATAGTTGAGATTACAATTTTTCAATTACAATTTATTAAAATTGTCTCAGTTTAGGACATCCACTTGCGTTTGATTCCATTGCAACGTTACATTCACATTAACAATTGAAATCCTCACGATTTCACAGAAGAAAATATGCCGAATGAAAAAATATTAAATCATTTAATCGAATTGCGTTACTATTGTTCATCTAGCTGAATGTCACAGTATTATGCAGCATTATTTATAATATAGAAATGTTTTCATACAATCGTTTCATTGAGGAACTATAGTAATTCGATTTGGTCACCGGTGACCCCATGGCAGTCAACGTGTTAACCAATGGAAATATTTCGAATCATTAGTATCTCCACTCAATCGACTCTTCATACGTTATTACTATAGTGTCACTATAGTATAGATAATGAAATGTTGGATCTTGAGTAATCGAGAGCTAGGAATAAATATATGTATTTAATAAAATATTAAATACATAATTTTATTTTTTTTTTCGTTTTACAGCCTGTCCTTCACTCACACTCATTCTTACATTCACTCTTCTTAAAAATACCTTAGCCTACGCTAACAATTCTATATACTACAATATAATATTAAATCATTTGATCGAATTGCATTATATTACTGTTCCACGTTCATCTAGCTGAATGTCATTGTATTATGCAGCATTATTTATAATATAGAAATGTTTTCATATAATCGTTTCATAGAGTGAACTATAGTAATTCAATTTGGTCACCGGTGACCCCCATGGCAGTCACGTGTTAACCAATGGAAATATTTCGAATATCTCTACTCAATTGACTCTTCATACGTTATTATCGAATAAAGTTTTCGTTATTTCTACCCTCGATTCCACAGGGGAAGAAAATCTCAGTGACCACTGAAAATTGGTAACACTGAAGGGCTATGCGAGATTTCTTCGAGATGTTCGAGAGAAACAGGTTAACGTGCGATTGGTGTCGGTTAAAAGCAGGCCAAAAGGAGTGCTAAAACCTGATACCGTTCCAATATTGAATCGTCTCGAATTGCTTCGAGTCGCTCCGTAATCATAGTGCCATTTCATCCGTGAAAGCGTCTTCGACGGTGCGGTAAACACAGCGAGCCGAAAAGGGCGGGCAGAAGTTAGACGCCGTGTCGTCGGCAGAAGTCTTGGTAACGCTAAACGAATTCACATGGAATTAACGCTAAATGGGGAAAGTGGGGTGACGCTTAATGGAAAGTGCTTGTACCCGGCTCGGATACGGAATGAGTGAGTCATCGACGATATCTAAAAATAGATTAGGCGTTTGCCTTCCCTTTGTCGTGACTTCCGGTTGAATTAGCTTCGGCTCGCCGTTTATTATTCTTTCAATATCTTAATTGCGACTGTAACTAGAAGATCGAACCCTTCGAATCTTTAATGTTCAAATTATTTGAGGTATTCGGTATAGTATATAATATTACACTTTTATTATTAGGTATAATGTCAAATAAATATTTGAGTTTTTTTAAATATTATGTTTTTTTGTTCGATGTATCGTCGATTAATTCTCTCAGTGATTATATTATACTAAATACCTTTTGCGCCTGATCCGGCCGGTACTTTGATCCCCTTTGCTCGTTTTCTTTTTCAAGCGGAGCATAAAAGCTTCTGTGAGAGATAAGACTTAAGTGACATTCAAAACACTCTGTAAAAAGCATGCTAAAACAACATGGCAGCAGTGTGTCCTACCGACGAAACCATGTATCTTTTGTGTTACGCGGGGAGGGTGCAATCGATACCAGCCTTTTTGGTACACGAAACTTGATGCAAAATCCGGGGGACAAATCCCAGAGCCTTAACCGATAATGTTCCCCTGTTTTTATCCTGGAACGTTAACGGAATAAATTGTACAATAATCTGCGACATCAAAAATGAATTCAAATAAAAATCAAATTTTATGTCTCGATGAAGTACAAGTAACTAAAAGCAATCAATAAATGAATGATTAAACATATCAATTGAAATATATCTGATAGAAAATTGTCTAATTCTCTAATTAAATCAATTTCGATTGAATTTCGTAGACGTTCGAACAACTTTTACATCCTTAATCAACCAACGTTAAACAAGGTCGGCGACTAATTACGATTTCAATATGTGACAATATTAAATTTACCCGTAACACACATGCGGCGTGTGCGACCAGGGATAAGGGTGATACTACTTGATCGCGTTAATTACAAACCCTTCGTTTACCCTTAAAATATTTGCTGGGACACCGCCGTGTATTCAACGGGAGCGGCCATTCCCGAAATGGCTTCCCGCGTTCCCTTACCGTAAACCGTACGTTTCGTATTCGACGCTGACTAATTTACAGCCGAACGCGTGTTGTCCTTGTTTCGCGGCGTGATCATTTTTCGGGGAAAATTTATGGGGTCTGTCCGCTTTAATTATGGGTCGACCGAAAACATCTTCCCGCTTTTGTCAATATGACGTCTGTTTTTCAACGAAATGGCATCTTTATTGCGGATCTAACGAGAGAAATCACCTGACGAATGACATAAAACAAAACCATCGGTGATATTTCATTGGGTAATCCCATATTGCTTCATTTAACAACCGGAAACTCGTTCCACTTCTCTTTCGTAAAATGTCCACTTTTAGAAGTATGATTTGAAACTTATGTGATGTTACTATAGTATAAATAATGAAAGGGTGGATCTTGAGTAATCGAGAGCTAGGAATAAATATATGTATTTAATAAAAGAAAGCTAAAACTATGGTGAAAATATAAAATATGGAGACCCTCGCATTCACTGATAGGAAGATACTATAGTTATACCATCTACTATTCTGTATTTCATATAAGTGATTCATGCGACTTTAAATAATAGAGACAAAAAAAAGAGAATGCTTGTGGGGGAAAGAATGATTTTTAAGTGCGGATGACGAGAGATTTTGGAGAGCGTTGACCTGAGAAAAGACCTGTGTACACTGCGAGCTATACCGTTTCCATTCATTTGTATTTTATTCAATTATCTATTCCTTTTTTTTAAATAAAACGTATTTAAATACCATTAACCCATTGCACTCGAAAGTTTTTCACTCGTAATATTCTATACTTCCTAATTAGATATAGACAAGATTCTTTAAACTGAACTTAACAAGAAATCATACATAAATTAGTTAATAAAGCTATTTTCTCTCAATATTTCACGTATTGATGCAGTATACAAAGGTTAATAAATTCCAAAGTTTATAAGTTTTCTGTATCAAATCACCTGGCGACTGGGTGTCGCCTCGAGTGCAAAGGGTTAATACCACAATTTTATAACAAATTACAAGGGCTAATTATATAGAATCCCTATAACACTGATCAAAGAAGACGTTCCATAATTTATGTTCAAGCAATTCAAAAGAACCACTTACATCTACTTAACCCCAACATAAACGCTTCACCACGAGTCTGACCCGAAACTGTAAGGGTTAATTTGGTAGAATGGCTACAGCATCGATCACAAAAGGCGTCCCATAGTGTCGTCATCCCCTAGCGACGCGTCCACGTTGTAGTTCTGGGTTAGGAGGCTCCGGGAAGTAGGCCAAGCCGTGAAACCGGCGGAAAACTTCGCTCGACGAGCAGGAGAGCTGCTGCGGCGCTCGCACACACACCCACCACACTGTTTCACCCCTTCGTCCGTCTTTGCTTTCACTCTTTTCGAGTCCCCGGTCTCAGCCCCTTCCCCCTCGGCCGGTTGTCTTTCTTGCGCCTTCCCGCCATCGATCTGTGTACCCATCATCGGGTCTGCCCACTTCTGGCCGACACTTACGCGCCACTTTCGCGATGCGAGCGAGACGCTCGCTGAAAATTCTCAGCCCCGTTCCAATCATAGTGCCCGGTATTTTTAGACGGGCCCGCCGGGTCCGTCGGAATTATTTCCGGCCCACGGCCGCACGGTAATAACTCGTGCCCGTAACAGCCTTCCGGTTATTTTTATTTTTTGAATGCGAGGCAACCTCGTTCGGCCGGCTAATACGTCTTCCAGCATTGTTCGAGAAAGTTAGATTATGCATGAGCTACGTCTGGCTTTGTTAAATCGACTGTTATTAATATTTGCATTCCCCTGGCGTGTTCCGAATTGTTCCGTGGCTATGGAACTGTAATAAATTGCTAGCTTTTTTTACTTAAGACAAATGTTTCGGAGTGACGGGGGATTTTGAGTAGATTTTTTGAGCTTGGGCTGGAGGTTGATTGTCAAAGAACTATTGGGAATTTTATCTTGTATATTTTCAGTTCCTTGTTGTGATCGTTTTAACTCCTTGCTGATGATGACTTCTACTCTGATTCGTGATGATTTCTAAACTAATTTAATGAGAATCAATGTTGTTCACTACCCACGGATCAAAGCAAATAACAGTTTTGCTATTATCAATGTATTATCTTCAAATGAAATTTCCACCTGAAGTAGACTGGAAAATTTTGTTATATTTCTTACAAATTGTCGATAGTAAAATATTACACGAGCTTAGTAACGAAAGTAAATAGTAGTTTATTTGTAGCATCGCAATTGTACCATTTAGAGGTAACATTTCAATGACTCCAAATATTCTTGAATAAATAAACACAGCGTCATATTAAGCTGTAATTGAATGAACTAACGTCGACGTGAATCTCAAAGTGAGAAACCAAAAGCACTTCGGACCGCAAAGGATTAAATTGCAAGGCATTTGATAATTATTTGATGAATTCTCACACAGAGTTCTTTCTGAAATTTATTATGTTCGTCGAAATTTATACATGAAATTGACAGTGTTGCCTTTGGAAGCTCTGTGGGAATTTCAAACAAATTTATTCGTGGAACAGAAAATGAATTTGTTACGCGTATTCACCTGAGTGCATCGAATAAAATAATTGAAATGAAGAAATGCTAGTACAACTGTGAAAGGGTGTATGGTTTTTTCTGTTTCAGATTGCGAATCCTCCGACAGGAAAATTCGTCCAAATTATCCGGGTAAATTAAAGGACAGCATCGGCGTTCGCGCGTGCACGGGGCGGTTCTTCGCAATTCCGAACGTGCCGCTCGACAATTATAGCCATCGTTTCGCGAAACATTTATGGTGACGTACGTTTTATCTTCCTAATTAGCGGACGCGACACCGCGATTAATCCAGGCGCGGCGTCGCTCGATTTTTCGACCTGTGCTGCGGTCGTACGCGAATTCAAACCGGAAGTCAAGTTCTCCGTCTTGGGCGAAGGTGAAATTTTATAGTCGTTAGTGGACTTCGGATCTTCGTGCACTTATTCCATAATAAGTATGAAATATAACTAACACCAAAATTCGCATCGAAAATAGAAGCAAAACGTGTATAATCACAATCGTTGATCTCGATTCCAACAATTGATGCTTTTACATTCTCCCACTAAGCTACGTCGAATAAATATTAACACGTTGAACGCCGCGGGGGTCACCGGTGACCCCCAACTAAATCGAATCACTATAGTTCACTCAATTAAATGATGGTTATTTGAAAACATTTCTATATTACAAATAATGCTATCTAATTTCGTGATTCAACTAGATGAACGTGCAATAATAATGCAATTCAATCAAATGATTTAATATCATATTTTTTTCATTTTGCGTATTTTACCGTATGAAATCGTGCGGCATTCAACGTGTTAACACCTAAGGAAGAAAGTATATTATTTTATGAATATATTGTAACGTCTAAAATTATATGCATTAATTTTTCAATCGCGAGAGTTAGCGATATCTTAATTGAATAAAATTTACTTTTTGGTTTCCGTAAAATTAAATCAAAAAGTTGTTGTCATATGAACATCGCATGATCCGAAGTCCAGTGAATAAACGTTGTGGAACTTACGCTTAAACTTGTGAAGAGACACTATGTTGTACATAACGCTTGTACGTCGAAGCGAGGGAATTAAGGAACACCGGTGGAGTAATTAAATTTAAGTGAAACAAAAAAAAAAGAATTATAAGAATAGGTTCGAAGTGTGGTTACTAATCTAGCGTTTAGAGGCGAGGGCCGCTCGGCTTACTTGTTTGTTTCGCGTGGTGAAACGAAAGAGCTTAATCACGGCCGATCGGTTAGCGATTTTCAACGTTTTCGGTCTCTCAAGTTCGCCGCCATGTTGTTTCAGCGGAGAGATCTCCGAGAACGTGTACACGGATCGAGACAGATGAGCCCCTGCTCTTTCCGTGGCGTTCACTGTAAAACGGAAAAGGAGATCGCGTTTCAAAAGTAACTTTATCCACGATTCAAAGGTTTGTTTCCCGAGCGAATCGACGTAGGCTTAAGGTCGCACGGTTTCAACCGGCTCGAAACTCCTCGGCGAATTGTCTGAAACGCAAACTGTAAAGTACGCATGTCAATAAAGACGCTAAAGCGATCATATGTCTGAACTCTTTCTCTGTAATTTGCTGTGGATGGTCGGAGCGAATGACGAGACCGAATGATGATTAGATCGAAAGTTTGGGAACATTGCGCGACAATTCATGGAGGTACAGATACTTAACCCCTTGCACTCGAGACGTGGCAATCAGTCACCATTTTATTCGATATAACAAAATTACAAAGTGTTATATATCATATTAAGTTTCGTATAATACATCAATATGCGAAATATTTCCATAAAATAGCTTTGTTTCTTAACTTACGTATGTTTTCTCATTAGTTCGTTTCAAATAATGTCATCTACGTCTCATAGAAAAGTGTCGAATGTTTCTAGTGAAAAATTTCCGAGTGCAAAGGGTTAATAATTGCATCAATTGGCTAAATATTAAACTTCACAGTTTCAGTATTCATTTTTCAGTGTTGATTCTACCGAAACTTTGCAACGTGATTCCAAACTTTGATCGATAGTATATGTACAGTGCATTGATTATCTTAAAATCCCTTAAATATTTTCTTTGCCTTTTCTTCCTTTAATAACACGAAAGTTTAAATATTCGAAATTTGTTATCGTTATCCATAGAAAATGAGCAACACAAGTTTATTTTTCCGTCTTAACTTAACCCTGTGTTCCTAAAAATTCCCTGTCGTCAACTGTAGTGATTCTTACAAAAAAAAACGATATGCAACGGTCAGATTCATTTGTTTGTTAGGTTCAATGCTTAATCACTTAATTCGAATTTAAATGGAAATATTTTTCCTACGCCTGCGGTTTTCCCTCATTGCTCCGTCGCAGTGCCAGCTGTTACAGGAGGAGACATTTTTAATTTCAGAATTTCCATAGCCGCGGTCTATTCGGCGAAGAGGCGAAACTGGGAAGAACGCAGCGTCAGAGGTACGTTTACTGCATGTCATTATACAGCGGATAATTTATGTAATAATTCGAGTAACTAAGATACATGGTTTCCTTCGCCGACTTAATCGTTTTAGCGAATGGACGTCTCGTATCAAAAATACTAAAACTACCGAGTCAAAATGACCCATTCCTGATTTCTTCTTTTTCTAATTATTAAAAAGATAACAGATGTATCTGAGAAGTGGTTAACTCTAAACCTACGAGCAGTTAAATTGACTTTTCAAAATTCTTCTATAGCAACTTCTAGAGTGCATCTATCAAGACTTTAATTCATTTACAATTCAGTTTGCGTATTGCTAAATCAATTTCTTGAATCATTTCTCTTTGAATCTGTTCTCTTTTTACTTGCAAAAAGAATAAAACAGGATTGGTAGGTTTAGTGTTAAAGAAATTGGCTTTAGCAATACTCAAGCTGAATTGTTAATCAATTTGAAGTCTCAGTAGGTGCGTTCTTGAGGTTACTACAGGCAAATTTCAAAAAGTTAACTTTTTGCACTCGACAATATTTTTCATTACAAGCGTTCATTATTTTGTGACGAAATATTAACAATATTATTTGCAACTTAAAGAAACATCTTCCATAAATTATGGAGCAGAGTTATTTCATTTGTTAATACCTGATTCAACATTTTATATTGAATTTTTCAGTTTACAATTTTGTTGCGTTCAATCAAATGGCGACTGAGAGTCGCCCCTCGAGTGCAAAGGGTTAATTTAACTGCTCGATAGTTTTAGTGTTAAAGAAAAGCTAATCCTGTTTCGTCTAGGTCCGAGGAGCAATACTGTCATTTTAACATAATATCCCAAGCAAATCCTTTTCGATCGCTTTGCGCGATTCACTGCTGGAAAACTGGATTCAGCTCTGGATTATTGTTTGCAGAAAATAAAAGGAAAGTCGCGTGTTCTCGATATTCTCGAAGGAAGTAGTATAGCTCAATGCTTGACGATTGTCTTTGAGGTGCGCTGTTTATTTTAGTGTAGATTAAACGCTGACGCTCCATCTTTGTTAACGATATTTCTTATTAACCTTGCAATATCCTCCTTTGATAACATGCAATCTTTTACCATTATTTTGCACGTTAATGAATATTAAAACGAGAGGATCAAATCTTATTATAATAGGATGCAAAGTGATTTTGCATATTTCCTTCGGTATTTGAATTACGAACAATGAGCTCTCATTTAATTTTACACAATGAGTTTCGTATCTTACAGCTTCATTTTTTATTGCCATTCGAGTTAGGTTATTTTTTATAGGAATTTGGAAATGTGAAAGTCACGGTTGTTGTACAACTTGTACGCGTGTAATCGAGGGAACTGACTGTTGACGGGAAGGTCCCCTAAATCCTTGGTCGAAATTTATTTTCTCGATGATTCGACGAAAGTCACCACCGTGGGGCAGCTTCACCCAGCATATACAGGGTGTTCCGAAGTCGAAAGCTGAAATTTCAATAGTTCGTTCCATCGATGAAGTATAGATACAATGGAACTCTTTTACAGGCGCTAATTAATTTTACTCGCTCCATTCTCCGCGGATACTCACACTGGAATAAGGTCATTAGTTTCACACAATTGTTCAATAGGAATTGGCAACTGAAAGACGGCAAATTGGGGTGGAAGCAAACAATGCGTCGTGTCATTTATATTCATAAGTAGAAACAACGAGCGATGGCCAAACACGTTGGCTGTATTGAAAATCGATACAATTTTAAATTTCTCTTTCTCGAGTACAAAGCTTTGCACGAACCAATTTCATTCGATATTTCCACCGTATTTTTTCAATCCGGATTCGACTTAATTAATCCTTCATTGCTTTCCAATCTCAATTCCATACATATCTCGATTAGTATTAAGGTGTAAATGGGATTAATTTGGCAGCATTTCTATATTGATTACATTAATATTCAAATAACGGTATCATAGTAAAATTAAGCCGCGGCAAGGAAACT